AGAGAAGGAAAGGAGAGAACAGTTTGGAAGAAAGAAAGAGCAAAATTCCTTGAAGAAAGAGGAAAAGAATGAAAGGAGATGGAGAAAAAGAGAGGAAGGAGAGAGGAAGTATACGAGGGATGGGAGCAGAAAGACAGAGAAATGCAGAAGGAGGAAAAGATGGGAGAGGATAAGGGAATCGAGATATAATAGATAGTATGGAGAATAGAAGGAGGAAAGATTACCGGAATATCTGAGAAAGGGATAAGGGGAAAGTAGATGGAGAAGGATAGTGAGGTTTAAAATGAACAATGAAACGAGAGGGGCGAGATACTGGAAAAAAGAGAGGAAAGAAGATGTAGACTATGTGAGATGGAAGATGAAACATGGGAACATGTAATAGGAGAATGTGGCGGAGAAAAGAGTAAGAGAAATTGGTGGGAAAGAATGAAGGAAATACTGCAAGAGGGAGAAGGGGATGGATGAGGGATTTAGAGAAAAGGAGGAAAGAGGGAATAGCTGAAGGGAGAAAGAAAGGAGGGAAAAAAGAGGAAGAAGGTATGAGGAGGAGAATGAGTGGAGGTATAAATGAGGTGTTGGAGAATGAATGGGGAACTGGAAGCCGAGCGAGGAAATAGATAGAGACAACTCTTTCTCTCTCTTAATTAGTTAGATACCCAGCAAACACCGATATATAATTGTTACATTGCTATAATAAAACGGAATATAACAGGTAATATAACGTGTACGTTATATGTAATATCCATGTTAGTTGTAATTTCCCACTCATAGATGTAACATTTTAATATAACATATATTACATTGTAGTTATTGTATATTGTAATTATATACCAAATAGCACATTGATATATTGATAAGTTAGTGCTATCTTGGGATATAATGACAATATAACTACAATGTAATATATGTAATATTAAAAATGTTACACCTATGAATGGGAAATTACAACTAACATATACGTTACATGTAACATGCTTAAGTATATAACATTTATATACTGTGTTTGCTGGGTAGATAGGTAGATGATGTAAAAGTAGTCATAAGTTAAATTTGTAAGAATTTTGTAAGGTTCGGGTACGCTCCTTAAAAGCGCCTTTAATCCCTAAGGAAGCAAATAAACATGAATGAATGAATAAATTAACCTACAAAAAGACGGATAATCTGAATCCTATTTATGATAGAATAATAAAGGCTGTCTAGTTCAGTTGACGTTTTACCATCTTGTCGAAAGATCGTATTGACACAATTAATTTATGTGCTTTAATATAGTTTAAATGTTATTTTATTTTAATTTATGTCAGGTATGTTTTAATGTTTATACACGGTTTAATGAGAGTTTGTGTTATGCGGTTTTATGTAATATTTTTGTTCAGCTTTTTTCGCTTATCTTTTGTTAAGTTGCAAATAAAGTGAAGTTTTGTGAAACTAGAACAATTAGTGTCTCTTATAGATACTCCTTCAACACGCGGACGTTCTCCAAGCTCGAAGCCATTTTGAACCGAGACTTACGCGAACAATTTTAAATGACTATTATATAAATTGTCGTTTTATGATTTATATTATTTTATAAATATAATATATATTTTTTGTTTGTAATTTTTAGACTTGAGAAGGACCCAAACCAAGGGTCGAAACGTCGTCCTTAATTTTATTTGATGTCTAATGTGCGATTTCGCGACAACGCGGAGTGCGAACCAGTGTATGAGTGTCGAACACGAGGAATACGGAGCACAGCACAACGACATGAAAAAGAAAAAAAGACAACGTGAATGACGACAGTAATGTATTTTGTACACTATATACAAGAAAGTAAGTATCGCGCACTAGTAGCGCGACGAACTGCAAGAATTGCAAGAAGTGTGTTCAAAACGCATCAGAAAATATTAGCCGTGGAATAAAATAAAATATTCTGTTCGAATAATATTTTAGAAGATTCTAGAATAATCGATATTTACAGCAAATCGTTTTTTGTATGTTTTTTGCGGAGAAACACAGCGACATAAATCAATCTGTCTCAAAAAAACATTCCTCAAAATATCAACAATTAACGGTATCACAACCGTTCCGCCGAATAATTAGTTTCAGTGAGCATGCGCGGCTTACCACGGGCGCCTCTTTTCACCAATAATTATCGCGATCACCCGCGCGCGCATGCTTTCTGCCAGCCGTCTTCCGTTAATTTTGACAGCGGCCAATAATGAGCTGTGCCCTCGAGTCACCTCGAGCACACTTAAAATTGCTCGCAATAATTGGCGCTTCCCGAAAAAGTGGGTTTTCTTCGGAAACCCATAAAAGAGAGCTCGCACCCGAAATCCGGGCCTTATCGCTTTTCCGCCGTGAACCGCATAACGCAACCGCAGATTTGTAAAACCGCAAAAATTCGTTGACGACCGCCGCTTATTCCGCACTTTGATTTTGAGTTCGATTTTCTCTGTAAATTAATTAAGATTGTAAAAGTTTGTTAAAGTGTTCGTTTTTAATTGTTTTATAATATTAAAGTCAGTTTAATACAAAAGGTGACTCATCCTTTCGTGCAGCGCGATCCTTTCTCTCGCAGCGCGTTCGTGAACATATTTCTGGTCCTTCGAGCCGGATCCGTCGCATCGGCAACCGCAAGTTCGCGAGCGTGACTTCTCGTGTGAGTGAAGGTGTGAACGTCTGGGTGTGCAGCCGTCATGGATGTGTCCACGCTGGTCGATTGTCAGCGTGAGATTCAAATCCGAATCTCACGCTCCGTAGAGTACCTGAAGAAGCTGGGCAGCGCCAATATCACCACCAGTGCTATCGCCACACGCACCAGAATCCTGGATCAGCTGTGGACAAAGTTCGAGACGCAGCACGACCTTATCCGAGCGGCCCTGAAAGACAAATTCAGTGAGAGCGAGTATTTCAAATCAGATTTCCATGCAGATACAGAAAATCTGTACGTAAGTCAGCGAAGCATACTTGATGGCTACGCCGAACACTTTCGTGCACCGAACGTAGCTCCTTCTGCCGACGTCACGCCACGGTCGTCACTGCCGCGCATCAAGGTACCGCCATTCTCTGGTGCTTACGCTGATTGGCCGTCGTTTCGGGATCTCTTTCTCTCCGTCGTGAGTGGCAACGCGATCTCCAACATCGAGCGCTTCCATCACCTCCGCTCATGTCTGACGGGACCGGCTGAAAAGTTAATAAAGTCGTTACCCGTCACTAGCGACAATTATGAGCGTGCTTGGGCGATACTGGACAAGCACTACAACAATAAAAAAGAATTGATCCGCTCCAACTTTGCCACGTTCATCGCCGTGCCAAAGATGAAGGGAGATACCGCAGAGGAGTTGAGACGCATCCACAACGCCGTTACTGCCACCGTCAACGGTCAGGAGAGCATCGGGCGTCCAATAAACTCCCACGGGATGGACCTCTTCAACTTCCTGGTGACGGAGCTTTTTGATGCACGCACACGTCTGGAGTGGGAGTCGTCCATTTCAGACTCATCAGAGCCAGCACAGAACGAGGCACTCGTTGACTTTATCAGTCGGCGGATCCTGACGCTCAATGCCGCACGACCGAAGGGCGTCAGCAAACCGTCCGGAGATGCTCCACGGATCGCCAAGGCACACGTCACAAAACACCAAGGATCTGAACCGCCGCACTGTGCACTGTGTCGCGAGAACCACACCTTGATGGCCTGCCGAGACTTCAAGGCCAAGACAGTCAACGAGCGTAAGGCATTTATAGAGACAAGCAAGCGCTGCTACAATTGCTTAGGCAACCACTTTTTATCTCGCTGCCAGTCAAAGAAGAACTGCCTCACATGCGACGCACGACACCACACGATGTTGCACGGAGCACCGACGTCTTCACTGTCAGCTGAGGCCACCACACGCGCCACCACACTGACCACGACTCTGCAACATCAGGATCACAAGGCCGTTCTTCTGGCAACAGCTCGAGTGAACATCGCCGATCGGTACGGTTCACCACACGCCGTACGCGCTCTGATCGACCAATGCTCTGAGGTGTCGATCATTTCAGAGACCTTGGCACAACGCCTTCGCCTTCCTCGAGTCTCGACGGATCTCTCGATCTTCGGCATCGGAGGGACCCGCTCAGGATCCGCTCGAGGCAAAGTAACGCTGCACGTAACATCAGACGTGACCAACGCCGAGCTCAGCGTGGTAGCCTTTGTGCTGCCTCGCATATCACTGCAGCAAGGATCAGTCTCACGAGGAGAACGCAGCTGGCCTCATCTCAAAGGACTCCAACTGGCCGATCCTCGTTTTTTGGACGACGACCCAGCTGAGTTACTCCTAGGAGCCGAGGTCTATTCCTTGATCCTCGAGGAAGGCCTCCGCAAAGGAGATTCAAGGATGCCGATCGCCCAGCAAACAAGCCTGGGGTGGATCCTCTCTGGCGGATACGACGCCGCATCAGTCAACGGACATCGCCGCACATTCCGATGCACCGCCGATCATGACCTCGCCGACCTCGTTCGCCGCTTTTGGGAGCAGGAGAGCGAGCCAATATCTCAGGCTCCACTCACTCCTGACGAAACCAAGTGCGAGGAGCTTTACGTGCGCACCGTCACACGCACGCCCACCGGAAGATACATGGTGAGACTGCCTCTTGCATCACCGCCGACGACTCTTCAAGACACTCGCCGCCCTGCGGAGCACCTCCTGAAAGCCATGGAGTCCAAGGGCAGCCGAGACCCTCGATTTGGCGACCTTTATCGCAGCTTCATGCAGGAATACGAGGACCTGCAACACATGAAGAGAGTAAATATCGCAACAACAGGTGAGAAGATCAGATGCTACTTACCGCATCACGGGGTCCTGAAGGAGGCGAGCACGACGACGAAGCTCCGAGTCGTGTTCAACGGCTCTCAACGGACACGAACTGGGAACTCGCTGAATTCGCATCTGCTGACTGGGGCGAATTTGCTGCCCGCTCTCACCGACGTGCTGCTGCGATGGCGTTGGCACCGGTATGTCTTCGTCACAGACATCGAGAAGATGTACCGCCAAATTCTCGTACATCCTGAGGACTGCAGCCTTCAAACGATACTGTGGCGTCAACACAAAACGAGCGAGATCCAGGAGTACGAGCTGCTGACGGTGACCTACGGCATGGCGTGTGCACCGTTCCTGGCCATCCGAACGCTGCGGCAACTCTGTGCGGACGAAGGGGCGCAGTTTCTTCAAGGGGCCACAGCACTTCGGCGAGATTGCTACGTCAACGACGTAGTCACCGGAGCGGACGACCTCGGCGATGCCGTCAACCTCCAGACAGAGCTGCGCAATCTCTGCATGGCGGGCGGATTTCCGCTGAGGAAGTGGGCTTCAAACAATCCGGACGTCCTCAGCGGAGTCCCACAGGAGCATCGGCTGCAGCAAGGACCACATTCCTGGGACGACGAGAGCCATTCGACCTTGGGTCTGCGATGGCATCCTCAAGAAGACCGGTTTGCCTTCGCCATACATCCTCGTGTAGTCAGCGAGTTTACGAAGCGACGAGTCCTCGCAGAGACTGCACGGCTGTTTGACCCGATGGGCTGGCTCGCACCTGTCGTGATTCGGGCGAAGATCCTGATCCAGACCACCTGGCTTCAGCAACTCGACTGGGACACTCCACTACCTGCCAAGGACGTCAAACGTTGGCAACAGCTGCTGAACCAGCTACCTCTGCTCAGCAACATACGGGTGAATCGCTGGCTCAGCACCGACAGCGATTACTCCACGTTGCAGATCCACGGCTTCGCAGATGCATCAGAGCGAGGATATGCTGCCGCCGTTTACATCCGCAACTCTGGAAAGGAACAAATCACAATCAATTTAATCATGGCGAAATCCAAAGTCGCGCCCGTCAAGCCAGTTTCGTTGCCTCGCCTTGAACTGTGCGCTGCTGTGCTACTCACCACGTTGACGTTGCATATCCGAAACACCCTCGGCTTGACATCAACTCCAGTACACCTGTGGTCCGATTCCAAGGTCACTCTCCATTGGATCCAGGGACACGCCGCTCGCTGGAAAACGTTCGTCGCCAACCGGGTGGCTCACATCCAGACTCAGCTCCCGGACGCTCAGTGGAGACACGTGGCCGGGAAGGACAATCCTGCAGATTGCGCATCACGAGAAATTAATCCGGAAGAGTTAGTCAATCACACGCTATGGTGGACTGGACCTACCTGGTTGGCATTGGACGAGACAGCGTGGCCCAGCTCAGAGGTCGACATCGCAGAGGACGACCTTCCGGAACAACGCACCACCAGCCTGATGACCAAAGGTGCCGTCATCGTTGAACCGGATCTTCTCCTTCGGTTCTCCACACTCCATCGGCTGCTGCGCGTTACGGCCTGGTGTCGTCGATGGCTCAACGTGGCGAGCCGAGAGGTCACACTTGGTCGTCCGCTGCATCCTGACGAGCTGGACGCCGCCCTACTCCAGTGGCTTCGAATTGTGCAGGCACTCCACTTCCCGGACGAGGTAGCCGCTGCCAACGCGGGACGCCCCGGTCCACCACGCAGTTCACTGATCAAACTCAGTCCATTCCTCGACGACCAAGGTGTACTGCGCGTAGGAGGGCGCCTCAAACACGCTCTGCTGCCTTACGACGAGAAGCACCCGGTGATCGTTCCGCCGGCCTCCTGGATGACGCGACTGCTCATCGAGTCCTGCCATCGTCGGTCTCTACACGGCGGCGTCCAGATGACTCTCGGCTTGCTTCGTCTTCGATTCTGGGTGCCACGAGGAAGGACCGTCATTAAGCAGCAACTTCATCGGTGCGTCACTTGCACTCGCTGGCGAGCGGCCACTCCACAGCCTCCAATGGGCAACCTTCCGCGTGACCGAGTGACGCCGACTCGGCCATTCCTGAGCACTGGCCTGGACTACGCGGGACCCATCTTCATCCGGACCAGCAAGGGGCGCGGACACCGCTCACAGAGAGGATACATAGCTGTCTTCGTATGCTTTTGGTCGAAGGCTATCCACCTCGAGGTCGTCTCGGACTACAGTTCCGAGGCCTTCATCGCCGCCTTACGCCGCTTCGTCTCCCGCAGAGGCCTGTGTACGGACGTGTACAGCGACTGCGGCACGACGTTCGTCGGCGCCGATCGCACCCTGCGCGAGCTCTTCAAGGCGTCATCTTCCGAGGGCCATCACATCGCTCGCGCCGCCAACAATCAAAGGATCCGCTGGCACTTTAATCCGCCAGCGGCCCCTCACTTCGGTGGCCTGTGGGAGGCTGCCGTAAAATCCACAAAATTCCACCTCCGTCGAGTAATCGGCGAAACCACCCTCACATATGAGGAGCTTAGCACACTCCTCACGCAAATCGAGGCGTGTCTTAATTCTCGTCCGTTGCAGGCTTTATCAGACGATCCGGACGACACTTCGGCGCTCACACCAGGCCACTTCCTCATCGGGGCGCCGCTATTAGCCGTACCTGAGCCATCGTTGACTGGTCAACCAGCATCCACACTGTCACGCTGGCGTCATCTCCAATTGATGCGAGACCATTTTTGGCAGCGTTGGTCAGCGGAGTACGTGCACGGCCTCAACCCCCGCACCAAATGGGTCAAGGCCGAGGCCGCACCTCACGTGGGGGACCTCTGTCTCATTCGTTCGGAGCTCACCCCTCCGACCCGATGGCCTCTCGCACGGATCACGAGACTGCATCCCGGGGACGACGGTATCGTCCGCGTGGTTTCGGTCCGCACCGCCACATCCGAATTCGTGCGCCCGCTCGTTAAATTAGTCATGCTTCCGGGCGCGGATCGTATTCCTGGCATGACTAACGCGGACACGTCGTCCGCCGGCACATAATTCATCTCGCGACACTTTTCACCTCACGCACTGTATCACTTGTCACATCTCATTTTTTTCATCCATCACCGCACTGATAATTGTTCCATCATCGCACTGCACTACACAACTCACCAAACACGCGGTTTCATTGCCTCAGCTGATCACCACATGTTCATTGTATCAGCTGATCGATTCACTTACCACGCGATCATCACGTGTATTTCTCCGCGCCTCCGCGTCTACCCCACCATCGATCACTATCGACTCGAGCTTCCGCGGCCGAAATTCCACACATGTTGTCACTGCGCGACAAGGCGGGCGGGAATGTTCAAAACGCATCAGAAAATATTAGCCGTGGAATAAAATAAAATATTCTGTTCGAATAATATTTTAGAAGATTCTAGAATAATCGATATTTACAGCAAATCGTTTTTTGTATGTTTTTCGCGGAGAAACACAGCGACATAAATCAATCTGTCTCAAAAAAACATTCCTCAAAATATCAACAATTAACGGTATCACAACTGTTCCGCCGAATAATTAGTTTCAGTGAGCATGCGCGGCTTACCACGGGCGCCTCTTTTTACCAATAATTATCGCGATCACCCGCGCGCGCATGCTTTCTGCCAGCCGTCTTCCGTTAATTTTGACAGCGGCCAATAATGAGCTGTGCCCTCGAGTCACCTCGAGCACACTTAAAATTGCTCGCAATAATTGGCGCTTCCCGAAAAAGTGGGTTTTCTTCGGAAACCCATAAAAGAGAGCTCGCACCCGAAATCCGGGCCTTATCGCTTTTCCGCCGTGAACCGCATAACGCAACCGCAGATTTGTAAAACCGCAAAAATTCGTTGACGACCGCCGCTTATTCCGCACTTTGATTTTGAGTTCGATTTTCTCTGTAAATTAATTAAGATTGTAAAAGTTTGTTAAAGTGTTCGTTTTTAATTGTTTTATAATATTAAAGTCAGTTTAATACAAAAGGTGACTCATCCTTTCGTGCAGCGCGATCCTTTCTCTCGCAGCGCGTTCGTGAACAAAGTGCAATCAACGACGAATCAAGTATGCGCGAGAAGTGCGATACAAAGAAACTTTTACTTAAAAGCGAAAAGAAAACTCTCGGTCGGTGCGCGCAAGTGTCGATGAGACGAGCGAGGATAAGACGCGCGAAAAAACAGTTTTATCCCGCCGACCTTCGAGAAGATTCTGATGTGAAATTACCGAACTTGTAATTTTGCAACATAAAGATATGGAATCTTCTCGAGTGTCGGAGGACAAAACTGTTTTGATTCGACTGTTTTGTTTGACCGACCCGCGTAAACGGGCTGGCGACCGCCGAAGGCATTTTGCGCGCGGAACGCGCGCAGCGTGATTGGCGTTCGGCGAGTAACGCGAATTGACGCGCCAAATTTGACATTGTGGTAAGATCAGTTTTCCACAATGCATTCTTTGTCCTCACACATACCTATACACGCATGCGCACATGCTCTCTCTCCCNCTCTCCCTGCACTCTCACTCTCTTACTCTTCTTCCTCTTCTTCCATTATCTCTTCTCTTCTCCCTCTTTCCCCCCCTCCCCCTTTCTCTCCCTCTCTTTTCTTTTTTCCACCTCTTTCACCCTCCCTTTCCTCACCCCCTCTCTTTCTCTCCCTCCATCCCCCCTCTCTCTCTTCCTCTTCTTCTCTTTCTCTCTCTGCCTGTAAGAGTAAGCATGTGTTATGTGAGAGCTCTGATAAAAATGAGTGATTGAGTGACTGAGAAGCGAGTTGTGGGACATTTGGGAGGACAGTGTGTTTTGAGTGTGGAGGTTGGTGCATAAGAGAGATTGTTATCTTAAAAAACATTAGAGATCTATGACTCAAACTCGCGAGTAAAAATTTTCTTTGGTGATTCGTGGAAATCGCCATAATGGTGATTCTGTAAAAGTAGAATGATGTGAGAGACAGCAGGTGACAAGTGTGATTCCAAGTAATCATAATTCAAAACTATAGCTGTGTGGATAAAACAGGGAAAGTAATGAGTGAGAAGAAAGCAGTGCCTACTTTATGTAGGCAATGTAGGAAAATCATTAAGACTGAGATAATCGTATATTTACCCTGCGATAAAAACTTTCATTCTAGTTGTCATAAACAGCATAAGATGTATAATTCTGTTAACAGTTGGTTCCGTGTAAAGGAAAATTTGAAATATTTACACAAAAAAGAGGATGGAAGGAGGCAGCGGCGAAGGAAATGAGAAAAGAGGAAGTGTCGACGCAGGTGCGTCTAGTTGGCTGCATCGCGCCCTGTTGGTGCGAAGCGGTCTGAATCGATGAAGCATACCGATGATAATATGGATGCCAAAATGAGAAAATTTATAAATTAGTAAAGGAAACCAGAATGAAATGATAAGAAAGAACATGATTAAGGGGATGCCGGAGGTCTACTTTTACCGGCCGAGCCGATTATATTTTGCCACAACCAAAAAGTTTTTATTGCGTTAATAGAATAACAAATGCTTTTCCACGATTAAAGTTAATACAATAATAAAGTAAGAAGCTGTCTGAATTGTGATAAAAAGACAAAAAATTTTTAAATACGAGTTTTTTTTCTGGCTTCTCGCGTCACGTTATAACAATATTTGCTTGTATAAAGTTCCACAATTTATACGTACAAAATAAGACAGGTTTCTACAAAAGATTGCATAAAAGAATGTTAGTGAGCTTGCAGAAATGAGTTTAGAAGTCTAATAAAAAAGATCTTGGTTGTGAAATATTTCATTCACATGTGTATGTGCGAAATGACATTTGGGAATAATACAGAGCAGAAAATTAGTTGCGCGATGTCGCGATAGATGGAGCTGCAATCGTGCAGTTAGACAAGGACAGTCATATTATCTTCGTCTCTCTCATACATAGAATAATATCACGCAAAACGTCTGCCTCTTTGTCAACATAGAGTTTCCTTCAAGAAGGCTGGATGAAAAGGTTAGTATATTTCTTATATGCATGCATGTATGTATGTATGTATGTATGTATGCGTATGTATGCGTAGAAAATGTTTATAAAGAAATTAATATATATATATATATATAATATACACATATATAGTAGAATGTACTACTTAAGACTCAAGGGAACGTCTTACATTGTTTAGGCTGAAATAAAGAGCGACTATTACCAATAGGTTAGGCATGTCTAAAGATAAAACTGTGCCAAATATTAATTCCCACTGTGTACCAGGATTCGAGTAATCAAGTTGCAAAAACGGTTCTGTGATGGTACATTTTGGGGTATTGTTGCGCCTACTTTAGTGACAATAAACAATTTATACAATAACTTTATATATATATATATATATATATATATATATACATATATACATATATATAATGTTGTGACGTGACATTTTTTACTGTCCGTCACAAGGGCCGAAGGCCCGGCCGGGAAGGCGGGAAATTCGGGAATCTTTGCTCTCTCGCCGATCTTTGAGAGAGAGAGAGAGCACCCGAAAAATAATTTTTGCGTTTTCTTCCGCGTCGGAGGATGCGCTCTGCGCATCCGTTTCGCGAATTACTTTATTTATAATTTTTGTTTAAGCGATTTTTTGCGTTTTCGGCGAGCAATTTGCATAGGGTCCGTGTCTCAACCGGAGAAACCGAGAGAGAGAGGGTGAGAGGACGGAGAGAACGAAGAGGACGATTTCGGACTGAGCAGAGGCCACCACGTCCGGATCACGCCCGGTAATATTATTCACACATAGATTTTTGGGATTGCTCCTCCCGTTAAGAACCGGGATACCGCCATAAAATGTTCCTTCTTTCGCAGAGATTCCGGCAAGAGACGGGGATGGCCCTTCTCTCGCGAGAGAGCCCCGGAAACGAAAGGCGCGGGAGATACCCTGCCTCGAGCCTCCGCAGATCCGGATACACGAAATTTCACCATCGATCAAACAATCGATCTGGAGGATTTTTGGGAGGAACAGCAAAGAGGCGCGCTCGTAGGAGTCTTCCCGACGAACAAATAGAGGAACAGCGGAACTCAATGCGGAAGAAAAAAGGAACGGCGAGAGAAATTTTTCTCAAGCGAATTAACAGGGTCCCGCGGGACGCCAGGCGGCCCTGCCAGGATAAGGAGCGCCACGGGTGGAAATGCCCAATTTATTATCGGCGTGATCCCGGCAGGCCTCTTGCTCGTCACTGTCTGGCGGAGCGTTGTCGAGGGCAGAGGTTCCTGCGTGCGGATGCCGAAGCATCGAAGGACCCACCAATACCGGTGAGACGAACGGCCCTATAATTTTGTAAAGCCTCTAAATTCTTTCTTTTGTGAGTAACGTATTCGGGAGAGACGCGTGTCACGGCCGCGGCCGGTTATTAAATATTCACCGGTGTCATTTCGCGATATTACGAGAGGTTTAATTTAGAGTTTCATTCCGCGTGGAATTTATCCGGCGCCCGGCCGACCGCGTGTTCTCTCCCGCGCGTATATTAAAAGAGGCTCTCTCTCCCGCGGATACGCCGACAGTCGCCGCGATTTCGTTACATTACTGTAGAATAAAAGTATCGTCTCGTAATTATTGTGTCGTTTCTCGTCCATCAGAGTTTACAGATTTTTGTATACCATCTGATCAATAGTCACGTATGAGGAATGTAGCGTATTCTTTCTCTCGCCCTGTCATTATTCGAGTAATTTTTGATTCATTGTAACATTGTGCGAGGGACGACCGGCGTGATCGATCTCCAAGGAAGTCGCGCGGGATCTACTACAGTTTACAAAATTTTACTAAGGTAGTAGATATTAAACTGACTACACTGGCTGTCTATTAGATTTGTTAAACTATATTTATTGACGTTTCGACCATACGGGCTGTGGTCCTTTTCAAAATTACAATAGAAGCATTCTAGAAATTAATGTACATGCAATCAGAATCAACATTTAAATTGAAAACGTGAAATGTAACAATGAGACTTACAATGAGTTACTGCATATCGTTATTAACATTTAAAAGTACGCTCCGGTGAGACTTAACTTAAGATCGGATGGT